GTTGGTAAGAGCTTTGCCATTCGGACCTGTCGCAGCACGAACGCCCTGGTTCCTAAATTTTCTTTCAGTCATAAATCTAAAGAGATATTATTTTTGCTTGTATTTTGACTGCTAGCTTCGTTTGAAAGTATCTCCTGTCACCTAAAACCCGAGCATTGCATCTTTTTCCAAATACGAAGTAAGAACCATGGTTGAAATGCTTCAGAGAGACCTTTCACTTGTACCAAGATCTCCTTTTCGCCTGTTGTAAGTGTTTTATGTCTTGCCTAACTCATGTTCTTCGGCTTCCAGAAGTGTGAATTGTGTAGGACAGTATTCTGGTTTACGTCTCTCACTGTTTGCCAACGATCATCTATTATTCTCATAAACATGAGGTTTGGAGAATATATTCTCTCTTGGACGTGTAGTTTGTCTTAGTGTATCATATGTTGGACACATCTTTTTCTTACCTGAGTATTTTGTTTGTTAACATAACCGCCTCATGGTCTCTACTTCCTAGTGGTGTTTGAACTTGAACAGCCTCAGCCACCAGCTGATCAAATGTTAACAAATAATCTCAGTTTGAGGATTTTCCTCCTTAGTTCATCTAATGGCGTTGCTTATGTCCTCAGTCAAGTAGTCTTTGGAACTGACCAGTAGGGGTTGCACCCTATTCGCTGAGATTTAGAGATGGAGTGTTGAAATCTTCAACTAAGAGTATTTAATCAAACCCAAGGGGTGAAAATTGTAGCATTAATTCAGTTAAATTATTCTCCTGAAACGTATTACTCACGGGGGGCCCGTAAATCCGTCAAATCAAGTATTTTGTGCAATTCATGTTGATGCAGTACCAGCATGACCGTGCCACGTTGGTTAGTTCGGTGCTGTGTAGTGTTAGGAATTCGAAATGGTCTGCTAATGTATAAAATCATTTCGTCACATATCTGGGGTGCCTAATCACACCTGAAGACTGTCCTGTCTTGCAATTGGCGTGACTCTTGTAACGTAGTTATTTGAGAATAAATTATTATTATTATTATTATTATTATTATTATTATTATAAACTCACTGCGTCATCGGCACTGTTGGAGGATAGCCATGTTTCAGTTAGGATTGTGTTCTTGAGATCCGTCTCCGAGCACCATAACCATCTCTTGCTTTTCACTGGTCGTTCTGGTTTTTGATAAATTAGAGCGAGTGTCATTTTTGCATCGCAAAACTGCCTTACGTTTCCGTTTCTTGCAGCCTTTTGTGCTATCATAGCTAGATCTTCCACATATTTGGACCCAACTAGATCACATCGCCGTCTGCCACCGACGGAGAGGTTAAATAGAGGACTGTCGCTCGTTCTGGGGCACATGTTTAGCGTCAGATCATGCCTTAGCGCGTGCGCGTATTCGCTTGAGGCTTAGTGGACTTAGGAAAGACACCACAGGGAAACCTCTCAGGGTTCTACTTAATGATAATAAGGCTAAGAATACATTCCAGGAACAAGTAGGAAGAGAGTTATACAACCATGTAAGTGATTCCAATCCGGAGGCAGCTTGGAATGATATCAAAAAGGCTGTGGAAACAGCAGTGATATCTTCTAGTAAGGTAAACCATAAGCCTAGGATGAAGCCGTGGATTTCAGTAGCATCCGCCGAGCTGATAGAGGCTGGAAAACACATCCCACCTGGCTCTGAACATGATGAGTAGAGAAGTCAGCTTAGGCGCAGGATGATAAAAAGCCTACGTAACGACCGGGAACAGTAGTGGGTGGCGAAAGCACAAGCGATTGAACAGGCAGCGGCGATAGGCAACAACAGACAGTTGTACCGACTTATCACGGAAACTGGTATTAGGAAACCGAATATGAGTGAGACTATCTCGGAAACAGATGGGACTATCATTCATTCACAATCCAGGAGATTGGATCGATGGACAGAACACTTTAGGGATCAGTTTAACTGGCCTTTAGCTACACTTCGGTTACCCACGATCTCCAGTCATCCTGAATAGCGAATCGAGTTAAGTCCTCCTAGTCTTTGTGAAATTGAGAAAGCGTCAGGAAACCTGAAGCGAGGTAGAGCAGCAGGTCCTGATATGCTTATCCCTGAAATGTTTAAGGATGGTGGTCCAGTTTTAGCATCTAGGTTGACTGAGATCTTATGTAGAATCTGGGAGCTGGACGTAATCCTATCCGAGCGGTCTCAATCCCTGATTCTCCCAATTTTTGAGAAAGGGCAAAAGTCTTCTTGTGACAATCACAGGGGACTCAGTCTAACTATTGTGGGTTCTAAATTGTTAGCTTCGATAATCCTTAGGTGCCTTATTAGAGCTCGTGAAGAGCAGACTAGACAAAACCAGGCTGGTTTCAGACCAAAACGTGATTTTTTTGACCACATTTTCACCCTACGACGGGTCCTGGAACACAGAAACACATTTAGATGTCCTACAATAGTTGTGTTCCTGGACCTAAAGGCGGCATTCGACTCTATGGATCGTGATTTTCTGTGGCAGTGTCTGTCATTGAAAGGTGTACCAAAGAAGTACATTAACCTTATACAAACTCTCTACTCTTAAACTACGGGTGGAGTGAGCGCTTATGACGAACTGTCATCGGAATTCTTTACTTCAAGTGGTATCCGCCAGGGATGTCCACTTTCTCCGCTCTTGTTAAATTTTGTCATAGACTTACTGCTATATACAACGTTATTCCCGTTTGACTTTTCAGGAGTCGATTTTCTACCAGGAGCCACGCTTGTTGACTTTGAATATGCCAATGAAGTAATCCTATTTGGTGAAGACACTGACAAAATGCAGAGTCTTCTCACTAACCTAAGCAACAATGCAAGCATGTTCGGAATGCGGTTTTCCCCGTCGAAATGCAAAATGTTGCTTCAAAACTGGGTTGCATCGGCACCTGAACTAGTGATAGGGAGTGAAGTAGTCGAGCCTGTTGATCGCTTCACTTATCCTGGGAGTCTCATCAACGCTGATAGCCTGGTGACTGACGAAATCTCAGCGCGGATACAGGAAGCACGATTGGCTTTTGCCAACGTGCGTCACTTATGGCGCAAGCGAGATATCCGCTTGTTAGGCAAAGGACGATTGTACTGTGCAGCAGTTCGCTCTGTTTTACTATATGGATGCGAAACATGGCCGTTAAGAGTAGAGGACATTCGTAGATTACTAATCTTTGATCATAGGTGTATCCGAAGCATTGCTCATGTATCCTGGGACAACCGTATAAGCAATGCTGTCGTTAGGAAACGAATTCTATGTAGGGATGGCAGATCGATAGATGAAGTGGTGAAACTTAATCAGTTGAAATGGTTAGGACATGTTTTATGAATGAGCAACCACCTACTGTCTCAACAAACTATGTTTTGTGGTGTAGGAGTAGGTTGGAAGGAAGCTGGGGTTGGCCAGACCAAGACATGGCACGAATCTATGAAATCACTAACAAGTGAACTGTGTCATGTTGGTAGATGTAGGCTATCTGGTTGGGGTCCGCGCGACGAAAGTCACCGATGGTTATAAACCTTGAATGACATGGCTCGAAATCGTTTGCGATGGCGCAAGTGCATCAATTCTTTTTCTTCTCTTAAATTCTAGCCTGAATTCCTCAGAATCTCTATCTTTCTCTTTACAAATTTACCTCAATGAATTACACTTTTCGAATCGTATCTTTGCTCCCTAATCTTATACATTGCTGCTCAAACTTCTATTATTGCTATCACTCTTGGATTTGAACTGACAGTTACGTCTCTGTGCTGATGTGGTATGGCAACCTGAACTGATGTACTTACGTTCGAAGTTCTGCGTTGTATCTCTCTGTCTGTCTGACTTCAACACATTTACGTTTATCGGCCGTGATGCTCTTCTTTATTTGCTTGTTTGCTTTTGAGTATTCAGTTTGTGCCTTAACTTTCTCTGCTCTTGTTCGGATGATGTTGACTGCTGCCTTTTGGTTCTTCCTTTCGTTAACTTTTTCAGGAGTACCAACGGAGATTTGTTCTGGTCTTTTTGGTACTTCAGGTTTGATTTTGACTTCCTCTTTAGACAAAAACCATCTTTATGACTGATGAACGTTTTCTACATTTCAGAGACTAATTTCGATAAAGTACATACACATCAGTAAATGTAACTCTATGGAGAAAAACACTGTAATAATTTTAATATTTAGAGAATTAAAAATGTTGCTGACTAATAAACCTAATTTTCGTCATTTATTCATTACATATTTGTGAACTGTTGTTAAGCAAACAATATGATTTTATGTTCTTCATGGTGTATTGACAAAGACCGATCAACTAACTGAATGATCAAGGTATTAACGAAACGATGAACATTCCTCATGTTTCCATGATGTTTTATTCAATGTCTACATATAATTATGAGATTAAAGAAATGAGAAGATAGTTCACCCCAATCTATTTCCAAGTATTTTCACAGGTGCATTGACTAAGTTTACTGTATTTTAAACTGAGTCCCAGACACCATTGTTTTTTGGAGAGTTCTGCATTGTTATTTGATCCAAAGTTCAGTAATACACTAACCAATCGTCAATCAATAAGTGCTGTAGAAAAATCGATTTATGTGGTTATAAATTTCGGTGATTGTATTGGATTGTGTTAGGTGAACGCTGGAATAGAGTGATGTGAGTTAGTGAAGTTTCATAACATTATATTACTTGAGCTTTAATATATATGATTTGATTAGGGGTATTTTAGTCTTGACTGTGTCAGTACAAGAAACTTCATCGATTCTATGAATATGAACAGATAGATAGATCGGAAATTAGATAGATAGCTGAAATGTAAATCACAATAGTGATACATCGTCAACTGATAAGTGATGATAACTAGTGTCGAGACATGTTCATGAAGGCAAACTTTTCAACATGCTGTAGACAGTGAAGGAAATATGTTTAGAAATAAGTAATACTATTCTTACGCAGTCCAATTATCTGCTTATCATGATTACTTGTATCTAACATTTCCGCCAACCTATTATCTAATCTAAATGTTTTAAGCATGATAACAGGTGCATTCATTGCAATGTCAGAAGTGAATCAAACTAGCCTCTGTGACAAGACAACACCATGCATGTAAGTAATGGAAGTTGATTAAAAATTCACCATCCCACTTGGCAGATTCAACTCAGATGTTTGGACTAAGCCGCGTGGCGAATTTGGTGTCGTTCTAATGTAAGTCATGAAAGTTGAAAACATTGGATTATTTTATTTTGTACATGATCATCGTGGATCATACTTTGATTATGTGATCACTACACAATCCTTAAAAGAAATCATCATGAAGGCATCGCTGTAGGAAATTTGTACATTTTTCATCAGCGACTAATATTCGATCATCATGAAAATGACTTACTAAGCATACCGATAGTCGAATACTTTCATTATATTTTGAACATATCCATATAAAAATGTTGCTCATCTGAATTGCTGACCATATTTCACACATACATTTTAGGGGGAACTGCTAATGACTCGCATTATGCTGAATGTGCTCTTCAGTTTTTTTTATTGTACATTTTATTTTTACATTACAGATGTATCGCTGTAATGTTGGCAATCATCATTATACTCACCAAAGCATTGAATACCGCATCTACAAGGAATACCATCATCATGATTATAACCGTTAGTCTATCATGATTTCAAATGATGTTAATGAGATTATTAGCATTTCTATTCAGTGTCCAGAAATTTCATTCTAATTGTATCTGAGTCAGGATCTACTCAAATATACTGTAATATTGATATGCATATGTGAGAATGTCAAATGAATTAGAGCTTTTTACTAATAAGAGGTAACTGTGAGATTGATGATATACAACTGAACATGACAAGAATAGAGATTGAGTGTGCAGTATAGGAGACCGTATGAACAGATAAATAAAACTTTGTTGGAATTACCGTCTCAACTACAGTTACAATAATGTCGACGCGAATTTACACCAAACTAAGTAAATTTCACTCCTAAAAACTTGTATTTGCTTCGATATGTTCGGTTAATCTTCAAACGTGTGTTCCCGCAGTATGTATTTCGTTATTCGATTGTCTAAGTAGAAGTTGAATCCAGCTGAAAAGTTTGCTATATGCTTGCGTTGTCTTTACAATTTTCATGTTACAGGAATGTAGTTATGTGACATTCGCATGGTCAATGAATATACAGATTCATTGACGAAACATCTCTGCATATCCATATGGTACACCGGGATATGCAACAGCTGACGTACATTTCAATGCATGACCAATTAACTTCCAGGCATTGTGGTTGCAACCAACTCTTGACCAGTTATTCTTTAGTAATGTTTCTACTTGGTAATGGCTTCGATAATTTACATACTATACATATCACATTTGTTGTTTACGTTGCAGTTGATTATGATGACCATCGGTGTTGTATTACTTGCTCCATTTGGTGAATGGTATGAAGAGATTATGGCGTCAGTTGTGGCGTTGGCAATAACGGCCTTTGCTATTCTCTCGGGTGTTGTAATGAATGGTTCTATAGGAAGATGGAGTAAACTTTTATTTTCAATTTGCTGTGCTTTAGTGACAGTTGGAATCGTCTGCAGCATTGTAAGTATAATCTGCAGGAACAAGAATAAGTGTGAAGTAAGTTGTTCTGAAGTATCTGAAGATTTATGATATACGAACATATAGACATAAGCCAGTGTTTCTTTCATTGAACAAGGAACGGTAATTATGTTCCACGTGCTCTGTTGCTGTCATAATCTTATCAGTTCATTCAAGTTCACATACCATAGTTACAGCAAACACATGGAATGAAAAGAATTCAACTAATTCGTTGTTTAACTAATTGTCATCAAAGATGAGTGAAGTTGTATAGAATCTACATTGTGAACACGAAATTATTTGCACTCAGACTTGACACACTGCATTATTATCATAGTCTTGGCAGTCAGCATATCTGTGAGTGTATAGTGTTTTATGAATGCAAATCAAATATTCACAAAATAATTTGTAATGAAATACTTTCTTCCCGTTTATTCTAGATTCTACTTCCTCTTTCGTCGATCATCGGTTGGGACGATCACATGTTTATTGTAAGTTTCTGATGAACGATTGAATTTCGATATTTATATATATATATATAGCTCACACTGCACATTGTGAATTGTATTTTAGCGGGCGAGTCAAGATACAAGATTGACTATGATCACCACTAAATGTCCCATACAGTCCCGTCACGTATATCAAAATAAATCCATGTACCAAGATTTTATTGAAGGAGACAGTAAGCATTACATCGGGAGCAAGGCATTTATAGAAATGGCAGGAACGCGAAAAGGACGTTGCGCTCAAGAAGTAGAAGAAGTGTTTTTGGTACAGTTAAACAAGACGAGTACAATAATGTTTATTTTTAACAAATCGTAGTTTCTTCTTAGAAGCGTTCCACTACAGTATAATATCGTTGTATTAACTGATGTGTATTGATGAGAGGTGTAATCGTCTGCTCCATTATCAGTTAAATCTTCTACAGGAAGTCAAGTGCGTGTACCGTAATCTTGATTTATCTGTTATGAGAGATTACTCAAAATAGATTGAAGTTCAGTCATTTATGTATGGTTGACTGTACGGAAGCTTAAGGCGAAGTGTTTTGTAGTTTTTTTTCACAGATTTATCGTAAACAAAATTTGAGAAAGAAGCGACCACTTCTTTTATACAACAAAGACCGTTGATGATATGCATTCTGCTTTAGTGTTGTCGTCGTTTCGTTGATTCATTCAAGTACACACATGGAAGTCAACATATCTGTGAATGAATAATGTTTTATGAATGCAATTCAAATATTTAAAAAGTTATATAAAATGAAATATTTTCATCTTTTGTATTCTAGATTGCATTCGCAATTACTTCAGCTATTTGTTGGGGCGAGGCGATGTTTATCGTAAGTTTCTGATAAACGAGTGAATTACGATATGTTTATTCATATCCAATATCCAATATCTTTCTCACGAGCTAGTGTAAACCAGTTGAATATTTTGCGCTCGATTCTTGTTCTTTCGGTACAGTTCCAGGTGTTCGGTAAAGTCCAATGGATGGAGGTATAGCTATTTGACTGTCTAATTCTTGTCAATTGACAGTTGGTTGTGAGTTTGTGTGTATGGGAATTTCAATGCAAACTTTTGTTTCAGGGCATTAGGGTTTCTGGATACCAGCAGCCATCACATTATCAGACCGGAGATCAGTTGGTTGCAATGTGTAGAGTATTAAGGATAATAAGGATAAAGTTCTAATGATAATGTGAAAAAAATTTCAGAACTGAGTAATATATAGATGAATTTAGTTTGTTAATTGGTAGTGAAGATTGTGAGAGAGGACCGTAGTGTAAGCAAGTGGGGAACAGAGATGAGAGGCGAGATAGATTAAGTAAGTGATCTGAGGAGATGGAAATGATAACAACTAGCAGGTCTCAAGATTATCATTACATTATCAACAGCTTGTCCAAAAGGGAGATGATAGTCCGTATATGAGTACGTGATTATCAAGTCTCTTCTTAAAGCAGTCTACTGAGGGGGCTGTGGTCACCTCGGCTGGGAGAGCATTCCATGTTGCGACGACTCGCAATGAGAAGGAGCGTGCACGAACCTGAATAATCGCTCTTTCGAGGATTGCCTTAAGAGGAGTGGTGGTGATTCGTCGGTAAGATATGCACGTTGGGATGGTTTGGCGTGCCTAATATGTTGTACGCCCTAATCAGATCACCTCTGATTCTCCTGTAGCTCAATGGAAATAATCTCAAGAGCTGGAGTCTCTCGTCGTAGGGTTTATTTTTCAACCCTATCACGCTGCACATTGTGAATTGTAAAAACTCGTACTGCACACTGTAACCATTACGTTGAAAAATGTACAAAAATTATGCATGAAAGTCTTTTGAGTGGAAGTTCAGTAGTTCCGTTAACACATGATTATGCTTGAAAGCGTGATGTTGATTAGTGAACATTTTGGAATTTCTCTCTCTCTTCCGTCAACAAATTAGATCTCGTTTCAGATTGTTCGAATGATCAAAGAATCAAACAAAACACTGACTGACCATTTTCAGAATCGTAATCATGGGTATGTGTTAGAGATTGTATTCTCAAACCATCAGTGAATGTCTTTCATTGTATCAGAGAAAAAATATGTCGTGTTTAAATTCTTTGTTTATATTCAAACTGAAGAGGACTGTTTCCTCAATTACAGGTGATTGCATTGACAGCACACTATTTGAAGAAATACATCGAACTGGAAGAATACTCAGCAGTTTATATGACTTTTATATTTTCATTTGAATATATGATACTAATGATTATTTCATTATTTCATGTCAATTATTTTCTTTACTGTAATTATGAACAATGATCAATGATTCATTGTAATTCATAAAATACTTTGATTAGCATCAATGAGTTCTGAAATGTTAATGAAGGTCATCGCAAACTGTAATGTCATTGATTTGTAATTGATGTACTCTTAGGACTCCGTTGCAAATAATTCTTTAAATTACAGTAATTATTATATCTAATGTCTACTTCAGTGTTATGTGTATTCACTCTAATATGCCATCATCCAGACATTATTTTATTAGACTATCACAATTATTCTAACAGCCAAACTGGTTACTTAAAACGTTTAGCCTACCGCATTTGTTGTGGATCATGGGATTGACTGACCCAGGCCGAGTATGTGTAGTAACAACGAGCAGTGATTACAGATCTGAGGCCTCTAGATAAAACTGTAGGGTGGTAGATGGCGACCGAAATAATTCATAACTTTGTATATCTACATTATTCAAAGACTACACTTCGCGTAAATTGCAAGAAACAGTCCTCGTCTGTGCATATACATGTTCACACAGATGTCGTATATGTATATATGACTTGCATGAGTCTCTGTGAGTCCAGTCGACATGTTTAGATGAAATGAACATGTTTGACCATCAAAAATACCACAAATAACACCGATTTAAAAAATGTCAAATCAAGTAAAGGTGAACAGGTCTGTACACTTAACTGGATAGGCAAAAACCATATAAGAATATAATTCGACGTTAGACAGATGTCAATTGTTTAATTGCTTGCATATAATTATCGATCACCAAATGTCATTACGGACTATCTTTAATTCGTGATTTTCTTAATTCCAGTAAGATCACCTTTTAACTAGCCTGATTAATTAATTCACACCACGATTGGTTAGTATTACGATGCGTTTTCTATATTTATCGTCACAATCTATCATGTGTTAAAAGGCCGTGTGGCAAACTTGAATCTACGTTTGAGAATGTGAATTATGGTCCAATGTTATTTGTCATGTCGTTAGCTACAGAACAACTTCAGTAATTGTAAAAATTTGACTTGTCATCCAAAACGCCTGGAAGATGACATTTATCTTGGCGATAATAACGTGTTCATGATTCTTAATTGAGATTTGACTACAATGCAACTGATACATCTTTTTTCGTCGATGGAGCCAACAACTTTGATGGAATGAACTTCAGTGGTTAACCTTTATTTTAATTCATGTGATTTGTAGATCGTTACATAAGTGTGTCACGATCATACAGTCAAGCATTCTTCTTGTTCCGTTAAGCATTCAAACTCACAGACTCGCAGAGTGCAATATCAGACAAAGAAATTTGAATACAATTATCAATAGGTAGAATAATTCCAACATCTATTAAACATGTATTTCTGAGACAATATATTAATTGTGGACAAATTTCTCATTGGGCAAACTACTGATGTTATTACTCTTAGTAAAACCGAGTATCCGTTTAGATCGTCAACATCCTCTTACGTAAAAATTGGACCAAACTGGGTGGCTCAAGCCTGAAGCTCACAACACAGAAGCCAAGTACATGTGGTAATTATCTTCGTCTTTTAAGACAACTGGATTGTAAATTTGCCCTCCGAGACTCGTCCTTTATTGGGGTATGTTTGCTCGGTTTATATTGGTTCTATCAGCAAAAATTAGCCTATTTCCTGTCAAATACTCTATGACACCTGGTAACACGACCACACGACCTTGAAGCATATACGAGAAAGCTAATGACGCAGTCTTCAACCACTTTTCAATCTAGATTAAGTAGGTGCACTGTCATGAAAGCAAACCTTCGATTGAAACCTCGAGGTAAGCCTGTTTACCATCCAAAGAGACTTATGTCTTATGCAACATTGTCAACATGAATGAGGGCTTGAATCACCATCAACATCATCAGCTGTAGACGCTACAGAGTATGGCCGAGGTGCTGTTCTTTCATATCAGTTTACAGACGCGTCAGAATATCCGTTATGCATGCACCGTGCAGAAGAAAAATACAGCTAGATGTAGAAAGAGGCTGTTGCCCTTATACTTGCTGCTCACCGTTTCTGTATGATTGAAGATTCACAGTGCTCACAAATCACAAGACTGCAAGCAACATTAGTTGTAAAATCTAGCATTACAGCCCATTCTGCAAATCGTCTCCAGCAATGGGCCTTCATAATTTCGTGATATGTATTCGAGATCCAATACTGAAGCACAAAAGAATTCTGTCAGGCAAATGATTTGTCGATAAATTGGCGGCTGAGGAAAACATGATAATCGCTCTGTATCAGCGGAAGACCACGCGGAATGTTATCTGACAAAAGAAATACGGACAACGACGATGCTTGCAACATATATACAAACGGCGTCCTAGAACGACCATATATTCGAGATGACGATCAGTTATGTAAACAACAGTCGGACGTCCAAGAAATTCTATGATGACATCAAACAGCCGTATCAAAGGCGGTTAATTGAATGAAACCCATATCCAATAGTTATGTTAATTGACCCTTAATGAATCAACATATCACCGAGTTGATCAAAAAAGCGTGCAGTCTCAGCAACGGGCAAAGGTGAATAACATACTTCCGCCGGTTCCATGGTCACAACCTGATCATCATTGGCTCAGTAAACAGATTGACTTTGCTGGCGCGATTATTTGAACAGTGTATTAGGCTGTGATCGACGCCCTTCCAAAATGGCCAGAAACAAGCCCTGTGATCGCGCTCACGACAACTAAACCATGCATCTCCTCACACTAACTTTCTCTGGCAATGGCATACAAGATATGATTGCATCTGATAACGAGTTGCAATTTACCTCTACCTAATTCTAAGATATCTGTCAGCAGCTAGCCATCAACACTTACGGTAGATACCATATCACCCGCAGTCGAATGGACTGACGTAGAGGTTCTTGGATAGGTTTAAAGGAGCGTAAGTTGAGTCAAAAAGGGAGGAGACACCAGCGGACACGTTACAAAATTATCTTTAATTTTATGGAACAGATCAATATAAGACCTAATTGTAGCCAAGTTCATAGCACAAATCCAGATGAGAAGAAGACTGAAGATGATCCAAAGCTCGATGCATTGGAGTAAGGCATCATTACCAATAGAAACAAAGTCTGAAAAGCAAGCAACGTATGAGGTAGGATTTCCAGGTTTGCCCACGACTGCAGATCCAGCCATGGTTCATAAACAGAAGTTCGAGTGTTCAGAAGAGTTTGCTGTGTCATGTATGAAGTACAGGTAGGAGAAGAGCTGTTCATGCAATCGGAATCAGATGCACAAACAGTTAGTCAAAGATCTATCATCAACTGGAGTAGATCAACCCTTGGATATCCTGCTAGATACTATCAAATTACCGTCAACCTCATCATGAGAACAAGCTCAACAAGAAGCAGATCTCCGTTCCAGGAGTGTTGAAAGCGTTAGATCCCCAGAACTAACTTGAAAATGAGTTAATTTAGTAATTTTATTCTGTAGTGATGAAGTTCCATGTTTTCATGCTAGTTGACCCTCGGCTTACAAATCTGTGGACATTTCTTTCTGATTGCAACGTCTTATTGGCAATAAACATTGTCAGTATCATTCATCACAATATGCGCATTTGATGAAGTGTTTTGGTTAAAGTTTTCCAACTTATTGATAGTTCAGTTAATCAACGTATTAAAAAAATTTCTCAGGGAATTTTCTGCATCTTTCCTTGAAGAAGAAATGTATAACTAGTTTTGTTTTATGCTTTTTTAAAGATTTTTCTTTCAGTGTTTCGTTATGATCACGTAGCATATTCAAATGTTATGGAAGACCAAAAGAGTTAACCGACCGGCTGGAATGATCAAAATACACTGTGTGATAGTACTTAGAGAAACACTTTGGATGCAGTTCGGACAATAAAGACTAGCTTCAGAAGGAATGCTGATTTACTCCAGCCGTGAAGAAGGAAATGCCCTAAATACAAAAAGAGTTGCATTGACGCTGTACTGACATGACTTGAAAGCACTTATACAATGGGAATCTGAGAAACAGGATGACTTAAGCCCCCTTCAGAACTAAGAAACGGGAAATTACTATTGCTATATACATATCAACGATAAAAATCGAGAAATTATTGGTCAATTTTGTGAGCGGCTGCAATTAATCGTCCATCACCAAATGCTTTACTCATAGCCTATAATCTGAGAGCGTTTTATATTTATGTATATATTAGCTGATCACTTAGTGGTATATTCGATACTGGTTTACGGCTCGCAAAAATCTCCCGATTGAATGTCAGCAAATAAATAGTTTTCTTTAACTAGTCCTTGTGTACCATAGAGAGAGAATCTAAGTGAAGCTTATTCACAAGTATGGATGAAAGGTTGGTTAGATTTTGAATGAATTAGATCATAGGAACTGAGCGTCGTCTGTCTGAAGTTCAACTGTCTAAATACCGTGTAAGCACAAAAAGAATTAAAAAACCAAATTTATTTATGCTTTGTTCAATAATGACGAGAGAATAACTTAATGAACTATTCTCATTGCTATTAGATGACCAGTTGAAGGTCGACTACCGTAAACCTCTAGTGTGATCGAACCTCCAACTGCACAAGAACACTAAAACAACAAGTATTTTTGATGGCAATTGATCATTTAAACCTTGTAAATCAAATTGGTATGACAAAGAATAAAATTTCAGTAGATATGACAAAAAAAGTTCTGAGGTTGAGCGCCATGATTGTTTATTGGACAGTAGTAATAAAAATCGTAACAGTAATAGAAATAATAATAATATGAAATGACCGAATTGAAACAAACAGTGAAGACAAAAATAAGTAATGCCACCGCCATTTGCTGGAAGAGATATTCCTAGAAATGCTTCTTATACACAACAGCTTCTAGGGATACTTCCACTTTTCATAGATAAGTACACTGAAAAGAATATGAATGGAACTAACTGTTCAGTATAATAATGTAAACGAAATAATTTTATGGATATATTTTATTGAAGAATGTCGATAAACTACAGTGATCTATGCTGACTTACGTGGATTATCAAAATCATTCTACATTAGATCATGACGTTTAAAAACAATGATGCTAGCATTCAACTTCAATCATAATCGTGTTCACACTAGTGATTAGTTCTAATATAGATTTCTGTAGGTGAAGTAGGTTGCCTTAATATGGTTGCTTATTCACACTAGAATTCACATAGAATGGTTCTGCGTAATATACATGGAATTCATTTTATCTGCTGAATAATGTATATGTAAGTTGATAATTCCTACTTACTTACTTGCTTACTTACTTACGCTTGTTAACCCGAATGAAGCATAGGCTACCGATAAGTATTCTCCGACCAGCTCAGGCCTGAGCTTCCCTTTCCAGTTCCGTCAATATTTTGTTCATTCTTATCATCTCTGTCTCCAGTTCTCGAGGTAATATGTTTCTTGGCCTTCCTCTTTTCTTTAAACATTGAGGATTTTGAGTGAGAGCTTGTCATGTGACGCAGTTGAGTGCAATCCGCAGTATGTGACTGATCGACTTCCAGCGCTTCATCCGGATTTCCTCCTCTACTGGAATCTGATTTGTTCTCTCCCACAATAGTTCGCTACTGATTGTGTCTGACCGAGGAGTCCGAAGCATCTTGCATAGACAACTGTGAATAAACACTTTTTTTTCCGGATGATGGCTTTCGTAGCTGTCCAAGTTTTCGCCCCAAAGAGTAGAATTTTCTCGACATTTGTATTGAGAATTCTGATTATTACGTTGGTTGATAGTTGTTTTGAGTTCCGTAAACTTTTCGATTGTAGAAGTGGAGCCCTTGGTTTGCCGATCCGCGCCCTCACATCTGCAACAGATCCACTTTTCTCGTCATCGATGCTTCCCAGATATGTAAATTGCTAATTCCCCAAAGACATCTCCATCAAGAATGATTTCGTTGGAGCATGTAGTGTTTAATCGCAGAAGCTTCCTTTGCCCGTTATGAATGTTGGTAGTTGCTGCTGTGTAGGCTGATGCTACACTGGTCATCTTCTCTTGTATATGTTGTTGCGAGTGAGAAAGAAGATCCAAGTTATCTGCGAAGTTCAGATTGTCCAGCTGCATCCTGGTTGTCAGTTGTATACCGTGCTTTCCACCTGATGTTGACGTCTTCATAATCCAGTCGATCACAGGTAGGAAAAACTCCTTCTATTCTTCGTTTTCTGAAAACCTACGGTAGTTGAAGATATTTTGAAACGTTTACAGTGTACAGTCATCATGTTCAACTGGAAAATGATATAAAATAACGGAATCAAATGATAATGAACTGAATAAACACTGAGGAAGTAGATTTCACAGCAAATATTGTGTACTTTTATATGTACAAATACTTACTTCACATTGGTACAGGATTTATATCTATATATACATTTTTGAATTGAAAAAATTTATTATAAAGTCTCCCTAATTGAGGCAGCATAACACAAAATCCTAACAATCATTGAGATATAGATAGCTAAGCATCACTAGCCATAACATTACAAACAAGCCATACTGATAATTGTCCAGTGATTACATCTTCGACAAATGCCTCTCATCGTCAATGCACACAAAAATATACACAAGTTTATAATCATGATTTATTAAAAGTGATAATAAGGACCATTCAATTAACTAAAGAATCAAGTTAGTAAAAATGTGACGAATATTCGTCATGTTTTCATGATGTTTCATCTGAGGTCTACAGTCTCTCGCATGATATATGATCTTAACTAAATGAGAAGATTGTTCATCTGTAGTGTGCCTATTTACTGCGTGTTCTTAAGCTCGGTTTATAAATCAGAAGATGAACTCGTATTGATGAATACGTTTATTCGAGGCACACCACAAAGCGAAGCGGAGAAGCGAATTGGAGAAGGCTAAGGGCCAACTCAAAGAGATAGAGTATGACTAAGAATATATAGTCAGGCATAAATAAGACAGACATATGACAAGCGAAATAGGTATGCACACACATGAATAAAAGCGACGAATGATTGACAAGGTCAAAAGCAAGCGATACAAATCATGTGAGTTCATGGGAATATTACGAGATTAACATTAAAGCGAAAAGGATGGGTAAGTGCGTAAGCGTAAACAATGCTCAGTCGTATAAGCTCATACAAAGCAGATAATAAAAAATAACAATGGTACATATGAGTTGTTGCTATGCAAATAGCTTGGTTACATAAATTAATCAAAAGGCTTAATCAAATTAAATATGAGAGAACTCAAGTTTATGTGGAGGCTCTACACATCCATTCATTTACCAGGTAATGTGTTCATTGATTAGGTTTACTTAATGTATAACTAATTTAGAGAATTCATTTTGTGTCGCATAGCTTTTCATTAGTGTTTGTTCCAAAGTTCATTAGTACAGTAACCACTTATCAATCAATATATGTTGATGTATGCCAATATAAATCTAGGTGACTTTATCGAATTGTTATAACTAAACTTTGAAGAGGAGAGTTGTGAGTTTGTATATTTTAGCAACAAAATTTAGCTTGGGATTTAATTTTGATGATTCGAATTAGTGTATTATTGCTTTGACTGAACCTCATCGATTCCGTTAATAAAGGTAGATAAATAGATAGGAATATTGATAAATAGATAGAAAAACATATATATATATATATATGTATAGATAGATAGATAGATAGATGGATAGATAGATAGATAGATAGATAGATAGATAGATAGATAGATAGATAGATAGATAGATAGATAGATAGATAGATAGATGGATAGATAGATAGATAGATAGAGAGATGGATAGATAGATAGATAGATAGATAGATAGATAGATAGATAGATAGATAGATAGATAGATAGATAGATAGATAGATAGATAGATAGATAGATAGATAGATAGATAGATAGATAGATAGATAGATAGATAGATAGATAGATAGATAGATAGATAGATAGATAGATAGATAGATAGATAGATAGATAGATAGGTAGATAGATAGATAGATAGATAGATAGATAGATAGATAGATAGATAGATAGATAGATAGGTAGATAGATAGATTGATAGATAGATAAATAGAGAGATAGAAAGATAGATATGCAGATATGTTCATGGTCAGGAAGATTCGCTAACAAAATTCATGTCAAACTAGGTTTCTGACGTGTAAGACACTTTTACGAATGCATATCTCTTCATATACCAACGATAGTGGAGGTTATAAGGGTTAAAGTGAGTATGTAAGCTTTCTTGTATTTCCATGTATTTATCGATCATGATTGCTTGTATCTTAAATTTCTTCCAATTTATTAGAAGATGGAGTTAATGATTATATCTGACGCAAATATTTCAACCGTGATAACTTGGGCATTCGGTGCAATGTCAGATGTAAATGAAATTGATTTCAGCAGCTCTACAAATTGTTGCATGTAAGTAATTGACGTTGATTGAGAATTCACTAATCCAGTTGACAGATTCAACTCTACTGAGACTAAGCCTCAGACAATGCACATATCTGGCATCGTTCTAATGTAAGTTATCAAAGATGAAACAATTGACTACGCCATTTTGTACATAATTTTTGTGATGATCTCTTGAACTGATCGAACAATTGTTATTATCGCTTCAATACACAATCCCAAAACCAAATCACAATGAAGGCATCTCAGTAGAAAATGTTTGCATTTTGAAAAGTGACTGATAACCAGTCATCATGACAATCGTTTCTACAGTATTCTCATTGCCGAATTGTTTGATTATCTTTTGAACACATCCATATAAAAATATCAACCATTTGAACTGTTGATCATTTGTTGCATATATTGGTAACTCCTAATGACAAGTGCTATGCTCAGTGAACACGTCAGTTTATTTTGTTTTCAAATTTATTTTCACATTTCAGATGTATCGCTCTAATATTGGCAAGCATCATCATACTCATCAAAGCATTGCACAGCGAATCTAAAACGAATACCGCATTTATGATCATAACAGTTAGTCGAATATGATTCCGAATGTTGTTTATGATTTTGTATGCATTTTTGTTCAGTATTCATATTATGCTTTTTTGACTGAATGTTTGCCAGGATTTACTCTGACATTCAATATTGGTGATATGCGTATTTGATAATATGAGATGGATCAGAGCTATAAAGCATTCAAGGATAACTGTTAAAATTTATGATGGACAAATTAAGAAGAAAAGTGAAGAGTTGGGAATGATTGTGCATTTCAGAAGACTGTTTGAAAAAATAGACGATATTGTGTTGGACTCACACTTTGCATTGCAGCTGTGATAACGTCAACTCACAGAAGCACTAAAATAAACCAGTTTAACGTTTTATCATTTGTATTTGTTTCTTTCCACTGTGCAAGTATTCAAGCTTATGATCCCATAGTATGTAAGTCATCAAGTAGAAGTTCTGTGCGGCTGATAAGTTTGCTTTGTGCTCTCAATTTGTTTCAGTTTTCATGTGTAATATTTGGTAAAGTAATATGGTGATGCTATATTCACCTGTGCAATAAATGTAAGTATTCGTTGAAGGAACATCACTGAATTTCAGTACGGCATACCCGGATGAGCAACAGCTCACATACATTTTTTTGCAAGACAAGTAAACCTGCAGACACCATAATTGAGAACCATTCTTGACCAAGTATTGTTTAGTAATGTATCTCGTTGTAAACGGTTTTGAAAGTGCAGTTACTATAAAATAACATTTTTGTTGTTTACTTTTCAGTTGATTATGATGACTATCGGTGTTTTATTATTAATAACTTTATGTGGTGATTGGTATGAACCGATCATTGCGGTAATTGTGCCACTTGTAGTATTGATCTTGGCTATCATGTCGGGTCAAAGAGCGCAACGTTCCATAGCAAAATGGAGGATCCTATTATTTTCATTTGGCTGTGTATTAGTGACAGTCGCAATAGTCTGCAGCATTTTATGTATAATTTGCAAGAGGAATAATACTCGTAAAGTGAGTTGTCCTGAAGTATCAATTTCAACGCATTGAACGTGATTTTATGTTATAGAACTATATATATATGTTACCTAAGACCTAAACATTATGAAATATACACAGCAAACAAAATGGACAAATGCTTCCATCATATCTCATGTCGTATCATCTGAACGAACCATTTTTCAGTAGTTTGTGCACAAAAGTGTATTTGCATATTTATGGTACAGGAATTTACGGACAGAAGCCAGGGTTTCTTTTAATGAACAAAAACCGGCAGTTATGTTAAATGTGCTCTGTTGCTGTGAACATTTTATCAAACCATGCAAGTACACACATCATAATCACAGCAAAAAACGGAAAAGCACTGTCAAATGAAAAGAAGTCAACTAATTCGTTGGTAAACTAATATCAGCCAAAACAAATGCATTTGCATTGTATCCACATTGTCAACATCAGATAAATTAAACTTTGACTTGACAGACTGAATTATTGCAGTATTCATAGCAGTTAGCATATTTGTGAATGAATCAAATATCAAATATATGATTTGAAATGTAATATTGTCTTATCGTTCATTCTAGAATGCACTTCTGACGAACTATAGCTGGTGTTATAAAAATTCAATAGTAAGTTTTTGAAGAACGATTATATTTCCATTAATATCTGTTTACACATACAATTAAGTCTCTCTCTTTGTACTTTGTGAATTGTAAGATACCATAGTAATGGTGACTGGTCGAGTATATATATGACTATAATCCCATACTCGAGGTTGAGTGAGTGTAACTGAATGAGTGCTCGGAAGCACAGACTTGAACTTATCGAGAGTGATTACCGATTAGACGTCGTAGAATAATTATAAATGTTACCTAATAACTAATCACTAAGGAAAACACAAAACTATTGAAATTAATACATGATTTATTTATCTTTGAATGTGAAAACGCAGACTGAATGCATGTCCAGTCATTCATGTAAATTTGACTGTGCGGAAGCTTTACTCGAACCACTTTGCAGTTTTTGTAAATTCATGAAATATAAACGTCAACACAAAAGCGACTTTTAATTTTACGGAACGAATACAGGCGAATATGATCAGTCTGCTCTGGTGTTGTCGTCCCTTCGTCGATTCATTCAGTTACACACATCGAAGTCAGTATATCTGTGAATAATAAGGTTTTGTAAATGCAATTCAAATAGTTACAAAATGATTAGCAATGAAAAATTCTCTACTGTTTTATTCTAGATTGCATTTTCCGTTTTGTCGGCCATTTGTTGGTTTGAGGCTATGTTTATCGTAAGTTGATGATGAATGAATAAACGTCTATATATATGTTCAAATTAATATATATATATATATATATGTATATATATAAATATATATATATATATATCACTCTGTACATTGTGAATTATTTTTTATCATACGAAACATTGAAACTGAAACTTTTAAAAAATAACAAGAACATTTGAAGTTTCGACACCATATGTTTATACTGGTCAGCGAGATGTTGATATATGAAGAAATGAGAACATCATCGCTCCTTTTGTTAACAAACTGGATTTCGTCTCACATTATTCGATTGATCAAATGATCAAAAATGTCACTAACTGAATTGTGGCAGGATTTAAATCAAGTCAACGTGTTGGACATTGTACACTACCTTTATCTCCGAACGTCATTGATTGCATCATTTAAATACGAACTGTTTAATTCGTTTATTCATAGTCAAACTAAGGATTATTGCTTTCACACTTACAGGTGATTACATTGACAACATACTATTTGATCAAAATGAGGAAACGGGAAGAATACTCTGCTCTTTATTTGACTTTTATATGCGCATTTGAATATATGATATTTGTGATTATTTCGATATTTCATGTCAATTATTTCTTTCATTGTATTCGTGAAATTGTTGCTATCTAGTTGAAGCAATTATGAACAGTGATTCATGATTTACATTTTGTATTCATAAAATACGTTGATAAATATAAACGTGTTCTTGCATTTGTATGGAGAATATTTTACATGTCATCACGAGCAGTTATGTGAATGAGTTGTTAATGGTGTCTTATCCGCACTCCACTGCAATTATTTTTTCATATTGCAAAAGTTGATGCATCTAATGTATCCTTTAGTGTTATGGGTATTTGATCTAAAATTCAGTTTTACAGATATAAGTTGATTCAACTATCTCATATTTACTATTAGAGGAAAGAGGCAGTTACAACATTTAGTTTGCTGCCTCTATTGTCGATCATTAATTTATTTCGTCTAGATCTGAGGCCTCTAAAAAATACTGCTGAGCTATCAACTATGGTCGGACTAATTCCCTATTATACATAGACTACACTTCAAGTCAACGAGATCACGAGGAATAGTCTTCGTCTGTGCATAAACATATTCACACAAATGTTGTTCATGTACATGAAACTAGCATAGGTCTCTATGTGTCAAGTTGATTTATATGTAGGCATACGTCAATTGTACATGTTGATCACGAAAAATTATTCAACCAACACTACATCATGACAAAGGTAACAGTTAAGAGCAAAAATGAACGACAGCATTGTGAAGATTTCCATTTCATTTCTTTTATGAATCATTCGTTATCAAGAAGCCATGTGAATAAAACGTATTAGCATTGGTTCCTTCAATTACAGATTAGGTCGCCTAAAATCAATCTGTCTTCCGACTGTTTTTATAGTTCCGTTCAACTGTTGGTCATTTTCTGATGTCTGTTTTCTCATCCGCTCTTGCTGTGGTCTTGAGGGTTTCATGTAAATGGTTTTCTCATGGCGTAGTTGGGTCTTTTCCTTGTTGTGTGTCCTAAACATCATCAGTGCTTCTTCCTGATTTCTTATGTAAGCTTCTAATTTGATGTAAGTTGTTTCTTTCATTGTCGTTTACCATTATTTCATTGCTCATCAGTGTGAGCTCTTGTCGAGGCTCGTCCTCAGATGTGGTCGAATTCATAACTCCTAATTTACATAGGCATCCGTTCAGACTGCAGATGGGCAGTCTGAGCCTGCAGTAAACAACTTGAGAGCACTGTGGTAATTACGTTCGCATGTTATGAAAATTGTTATGTCAAGTTACTTTCGCAGTCTAGACCTTTACTGAATTTTGTTGTAAAACACTTCATCTTCAACAATACATATTGTAGACAAGTAGACGGAACAGCCAAATGCTCAACTCCAGGCCCAGTTATTCCTGTCAAAGCTAGAAAACGGATCACTTAATGAGGTTATTAGGAGCCGTGATCTATATTTCCGCTACAAAGCTGACAAATTCATTATTGAATGAATATAACAGTAAAAGAGGAATAAACGGATGATAGATTGGTCTGGTTGTTCAATCAAACGAACTGACTTCTTTCTGTTACATTCTCTGAACTCAGAGAATGAATCTCCGCAACAATTTAACGAGTTCATATTCTATCTACCTAAACAACACGTAAAAATTTAAGAAAGTGATTATGTACTTACATAAAGAGTGCAATCATGAAGCATTCAAATAAACTTTAATACATCAGCACCATTACTACATGCAGAAATAT